GTCCCTCCCCTCTCGCGCACACCCCAGCTCGTGCGATTCGCACTCGCTCGGGTCGGACCGCTTCGTGGAGCTCCGACGATGTCCCCTGAGATGAACGGACGGACAAACAGCTCACAGCATATCATTTCTTTTATTAGCTCCACGATATCACTTACATGATCAACTCCGTAATTACATAAACATACCTAGAGATTGAACAAATAACTCGGGATTAACACCTTACATTTGCATAAACCCATGACTGACAGCCAGTTTGAGCAGTCAAAACGACTGTTTGAATCATGCTTTTCCGTCGCTTTTCCGCGGAAATCGCACTGACATCGCACCGAACTCGTAAATTAACATCGCAGTTGTATCGCGGACATATTCATGTTTGTGTACGACATGAAAATAAAGCACCACAGGCGTTAAGATTGCCGAAAAGAGTGATTTTGCGGAGCACCCCGAAGAGATGTTTCACGCTTGAGTGTCATTTGCATACTGAAAAGTGGCGGCCATCTTTCCTTTTATACACCCAGACCCACGGTTTAAGAAAAGGCTCAATCATCATGTTATGAAAATAATGTATTTAATAACCACCCCAATAGAGTACCTGTGATATTATAGTATTTGGTAAATCCATGTCACTGAAGGGGCATTTGCTCCAACTTATCATTCTTATAACAAATAATTTACACAGAAATACATACACAAATTTTGATAGGAATGACTAAATATATGATTGAAAGAGAAAGTAGAGGGATACATACCTTAAACACCGTACTTGTGTAATCATGGCCGTTATTGCTTCTAACACCGCCTTGTCCTCTGTCATTGACACTCAGTTCTTGTTCTTGTTTAATCTGTTGTCTTTGTTGTTGATCAGTATGAATGTAACATTTTATTTCTTCCCACTTTCTGTCTATATTCTCATCAGCAACTTGGTGATGCACTGGTGATGACTCACTTTTCTCCATTTTGTGCCATTTTGATACAAACATGCTACTGTAGTCAGTTTCAGTTTTTGTTGGATTCTCCCCTGAAAGAAGACCACGTAGTTCCTCATTACCTTTACTCTCAGCTTTTACTGTAACGTCTATCATGTTTTCCTGCAACTTGTTTTCTACTTTAATCTCTGTACTTTTTGTAGCAGGCTTGCATTGGTCGAAAAAGATTGCACTGTCTGTATTCACAATGTCAGGTACAGATTTGGTACACTCTGCTAGGTTTGGTTTCAGGCACACAGCTGACGAGCTAGCTTTTGAAGCCACTTTACAGACAGATACCTTTGGGCTGCTAATCTGTTTCTGTAAATCTGGATGGTAAAAAGAATCGACAATCGGTTGCGAGTCTTCCATATTTAACTCCGCTAAAGTTGGTCCATGGCATATATCATCATGGTTCTGCAGTGGGCTGGATACATCTATGTCAAAAAAGTCACTTTCCTGTGAACCCCACAGAAATCTTTACCGCTTTCACAAAATGAGTAGAAACTATTGCTGAGCGACTCTTCTGAGGTAAAACTTTCATACAAAATGTCAGTGCATGTACTTGGCATGTCATCAGAAAAACCTCCCCAACAGTCCATATTTGACTTTTGTTTTGCCTTCAATGGTGGAGGGCTACATGTATCTTTCTCATACATGTAGCACGACTGTGGACTGGTGGTAGATGGTGATAATTCACTGGGAGTGATTGCTCACTCAAATGCACAGGTGTATAGTCAGAGTAAAAAACACTGGAGCTGTATTCCATGTTTTTCTCGCTTGGCTGAGAAAGAAGTAAACAAAAAACATGTATGGAAATATTATGAGAGATACATAATAATAATTATAATGAATTACTATCAGAATGCTAATTGAAGCTCAACAATTAATTGAATATATTAGAATTTAGAAGTGCCTGTTAACAGACTGTCATCCTATGGCACCAGCAAACATTAATCAAGCCCCCCAAAGAAATCCTACCTATCCCATTTTGGGGGAATACCAACAAGTTTAGAAAATCATAATTATTTATTTCTATTACATGTACTTCTATGTAGTGAATGACTAGCACTTAGCAGGGTTCTCCACGGTTTGAAAATTAAACAGGGCGCACCAAAGTGAAGTGGGAGTGGCACATTTGTAACGTGCATCATTGGCATGGATGTTGAAAAATGGAAACCAAAAAATCTATTAATCTACATATTATTACATATGCATAATATATATTTATTATTACAAAATGAATGAAAATTTTGAAGAGCTATTATTAAGTAAACGTCAGCACGTACAATCAGCTGATTTTAGCTGCACGATTCATCACGCGGCGACATCAGTTGTTTACCAGTAATGATCGCGTCCAGAAAAAGACGTAACAAGTTTGTTAATTTATTTTCCCAAATACATGCTTCATTTAATTTTTAGCAAATATTTATATTTATGATTTATAGACGGTGACGATGTTGCCGCTACAAGTCACGGCGTGAACTTGGTTTTAACCATAGACTTTATGTTTAACGAATGGTTTTACCGATAACGATTTTATACATTTGACGTCACCCTGCCAGTAAAAATATGGGTATGGTAATGCACTTTTCTAGGCCACATGTTCATTTTTAATCGTGTTGAAAAAACTTGTAACTTTTTGTTCGGTGGTGTTATCACCTCATGGTGACCTGCTACGATAACAAGCTGGAATTTTCACAGTTGCACCTTAAAACAATGAACCAGTTACCCTGAGCACGATGAATCATCTTCGGAAGACAATGAGTGTTGGCCTGTTTTGTAAACAATTTTTTGTCTGGGACCATGCAAGGCGCATATGAAATATAACAGGGCGCTGACAATTTAAACAGGGCGCCAATTTCAGATAACGGCGCGGCGCCCTGTTAAAACCCCTCGTGGAGAACCCTGCTTAGTTGTATTAAGGGAATATATTCTGAAAACTAACTTAGATGTCATTTTTCACATCTGTCTGCATGACTATATTCTCACAACTCATTGGCCTTATTGCAAACATGATTATCTAGGTGCCCAACTTCCCAAGTGGTTCGTCCCTATCTTTATGGGGATGATTCAGCAAAAAAAATGCCATATCATTGAAAATGTGAGTCATAACAAAAACGATAACAGCCACCTGATAATGCAATAAAATCTGTAGATATTTAATGATGAAAGTATGTTCAATAATGACAATGTGGCCAATGACCCCTTGATCTATAAACACACATGTGAACTGGTCAAGGGTATTCAACCATGAATGTCTTCACAACAGTAATGAGGCGGCATGCTCATAATAACAGCACAATTTTTTATCAGCAGTTTTAAAGATCTATTATCAAGCACACACTTTTAAAGGTATTTCGAGAGATTTTGTTTACTTTGAATAATAAAAAATAATAGGTAGCATATATTATATAGACATGTCAACCTGCAGAAAACAGAGTTCAGCAGAACAAAGGTCAAATCCCCAATATAGAATCAGAAACATAAAATATTCAGTGTCACAAAATAAAAAAGGTCTAATAAAATTCATATATCCTTTAATTTATTTTTGCAAAAAAAGGTAACTTACCATGGTCATAGAAGAACCAAGCTGTGCTGTCATATTGGTTGCACCATGAGTTTGCGCACCCAGAGGCATGTTATAACATTGGCTTTTACTGGGCAGTTTCAGAGAAATGCCTTCAGAGACAATATCTGACTTACATAGATCACAATACTGTGGCAGGAATTGTTTTCCAAAAAAAAAAAAACAAAAAAAAAACTTAAATCAAGTATTATGACCTTGTGGGTGTCAATGACAAATCACTTCCTCAAGTGGCAAAGAAAATTCTCTTTTGTAAAGGGGAATTCCCTGCTAAATACCCCAAGAAATTTCTGGTTACTCTGCATTTATTATGCTAATTAGTCATTATTTGGAACAATGCCAAATATACATCCTTTTCTCCCATGTCTTAGCACTATATTTATCAAAACTAGAATTGTGTTATAGCTGTTTTACATGCAGTTGTGTACCAATTTCTGACAATGTGATAAAATTTTGAAGATTGTATCTGACCCAACAAGCACTCAAAATACCAAATTCCTTGCATAAAGATTAAATTTCTGGTGAATGCTGCATATCTGACCACCAATAACAGAATTTACAATGCTGAAAAATAGTACAAAATAATGAAAACAAAGTACAATGTAATATACAAGAAATGTGGCCTAAATCAAGTATGATTCTCATATTGAATAACAAATATTACTGGTAGTATTCATAAGCAGAAGAGTTTTATAAACCCTGAGCAAGTGCACTCTCATTCCAGAATAGTCTATATATTATAGACCGCACAGTGTACACACAAGGGAATAAAAATGCCATTTGTCAATAAAATAATACAACTCATAACTAAATTATTACATAATACACATCAAATACAAATACTTACAAATATAAGAGGTATCCAATATAATCACAAGCAACTAAATTGAATTCCAAGAACCCAAATGCAAAGGTACTATGCCAGGTTTTAAGGGAAAAAACGAGAAGGTCAATAAACGACACGGCCGATATTCGGTTTAATTGGGGACAGCTGACATGGCTGTCCGATCCGCCCGTAGCTGGCCCAAAATAACAGAACAACCCTGGGAAACAAACATTGTGTTAACACACTGCCATTATATGCTGCTTTAACAACCTGATATTGAGAATAATCGACAACTGAAGCACATTTCTATCGCAGAAAATATTGTTGGGGGAAATAGAAAACTTGCTTTACCACCAAAACAGTGTCCCGGGAAAAAATACCATGGCAAATTGACACTAACCTTATGTTTACTTCTCAGATGCAGAATCCGGAAACATTTGCCAATGCAAATACAGGTCCGAAAAGCAATACCGTTCTTATAAATTCCACCACAGATCCTTAATATCTTGTGTAATCTTCAGTGATATAAATATTGCAATATTTTTACTCCAGAGTTATCAAAAACTTGCTTTCATACTGAAATTGTCGAGCTCGAAAAAATCTCTGGGTTGAAATTTTTGTTATGGTGCTGTCAGCGATATCTCAAAATCTCGTGACTTATTGTGTTTACAAATATCAGCCAATCAGACCGTAGAACGCTGCATATATTTGTATAAATTAAATATTAACTCCGCCCACTATTCTATGCAAAATATAACAGAGTTAGAGAATTGAGTGGTTTGATCAGTAAAACGCTGAAGATTATGCTTAAACCGCGAGTGACAGTTTGCGTAAAATTTCCAAAATCAGTTCAAAATCAACGAATACAAGAAACCTGTTATTCAGACTCCGCTACAATTAAAATACAGACTATAAACAAATAGCTTTATCTCTATTTACGTGGAGCCAGTTCGATTATATTTGGCTTCACGCAGAAACTGGATAGAACGGGTATGAACTGGGAGTCATATGATTGTCACGTGACTCGATGTTGTTACTATTTGTGCCGTTGACGTCAAGGGTTCTGATATTGCGAAATCAGCACCTCGTTCGGCTAAATGAGTTCATAACTTACATTAAAGCCCGCTAAATTATTTGGACAATGTGATTCAAATATAATTAATTGAAATATAAAAAAGTATATACGTTATATTTTAGATAAATCTCAAATTATCCGTGGTAACAGGGTTTAAACTTAAAATCAATTTATTCCTCCCAATAGAGGTGCAGCAACGAAGGTTGCATCATTTGTTTTGGATATTCCTGTTCACGTTGTCAACATCATACCGGCGAATATAGGTCACTTCGCTAACACATATTGTATGCATGATGGAAACTGCCGTCCCAGAATTCTTGTCGGGTGCCATACTGATATATTGTAGTGTAGTAGTTCAAGTTTAGGTCAAATTTAAATGACAAACAACAAATTAAATATAATTTTAATATACTGTATTTGTTCGCGGCTATAAACAAATAATAATATTTTTTTTTTATTAACACTTACACATTCCCCGGGGAGATTGGCAATGGTTACAAAAGTTTAAGAAGGAATAAAAGGTTACAAAGGTTTCAAAAAAAAAAATAGATAAAATAAAACAAACTAAGCTAATACATTACAGAGAAAAAATATAAAGATTAAATTATTATACTACAAAAGATAAAAAACAAAATGCAAAACTTAAACTGTGAAAGAAGATTGTCACTGGGATCGCTGTCTTATTTCAAAACACTTGTTTAGGTACCTTGCTACAGGGAGTGTTAGACCACTGTTGTTTAGCAATGCTATGAATTGCGTCTGTGGTGGCAATTTTTTAAAGTTTTGGATTTTGTTTGTTTTTTCATTTCAAATAGGACATTTCTTATGGGAGTATATCTTTGGCGTGACTTCGTTCTGATCACAAAGGTTGCATATAAATCTATTAGCAAGGAGTATTCCTTTGTGTCTACCACCCTCAATTTCAAGTTAGTATGGAATTTAGTTAAATTTTCGCGCATTTTAATATTTTGCAGGGTAGGTTTCAAAAGCAAAACTTTTTTTTTTTTAATTCTATTTATGTTCTTAATTTTTTTCATTTCATATACAGATATTGGCTGTGAAATATTTTGCTGATAAATGTAGCATAATAATCAGCCCGGTATTAAATTTATTCACAATGTTTAAGAAAATAATTCTTACACATTCATATGAAAATTTGTGCTTACAACTGGTTTTTAATCCGTG